TATGGAGTGGATGCTTCTCTTTTGGAGAGGCTGTACTTGTGAGTGTTTTTTTATGGGCTGGGCTCTTAGTTCATGAGCTCAGTCTGCTGTAATTGGATTTTTCTGTGACCATATAATTACCAGCATAAAATCCTGCTGTACTTTTCTGGGCTTATATTTCTCACTGGCATGCATATTGTTCCAAGCTCGTTCTGTCGTGTTACAATAAATCTACCTTCCCTTACGTGTCCTTGCATTTTAAGAACCCAAGTAGTCAGTAGATAGGTGGCCTGTCCTTATCGAATTATTTTTTAACGTAAAAACAAATAAAAAATGTTGTCAATAGAAAAAAAATAAATCATAATCATTGTTCTTAAATTAAGCTTCAATTCTAAAAGAAATCCTAATAATTTTAATGAGTTCGTATTACAAAAACATAAAAACAATATAATTTTTATGCATTACTACAAGAAACTCCCATCAAGTGTCATTAAATCTTATTTTTCTAGTTATTATTGAATTCTTTCAACTTTTATATATTGCCAAGCCGTGAATTGATTGATTTAACAAATCTAATAAATCTAAAAATAATATAAAATATTAATAAAATATATAGCCCGACTAAAAAAACCCAAAAAAAATTATATCTATTAATCTTTTTTTTCTCTTTTTTCATTTTATAATGACCCCCCTCCCTCTCTTTTCTTTCAAGGCCAGGGATTAAATCATGAAGAAAATAAAGTTATGGATTAAAATATAAAAACCTTAAAAAATAAAAGTTAAAATGAAAGAAGTTAAAATTGACTAAAGATGCTAAAAACATGCCTTGGAGACGGTACTAAAAAAAAAATCTAAAATTTGGTTTAAGTATCAAATTTCGACCTTGAAGTTTTAACTATGTTTAACTAAAAAAAATTAAATTTAAATTTTTCAAATTAAGCATTGATTTGATGCCAAAAGATTTTTAACCATTGCAAGGAACTCTTCTGAAGTTAACCGAGAGAAACCATCAATTATAATTTTAAATTAATTGAATTAAAATAATATAATAAAACAAAAGAAGAGAAAACACTGTATGAATTTATAGTGTTTTGTCTCACAGGGCAAAGTTATTCACTCATTCCTCTTAGTTTTTGGTTTAGATAGTGTTTGTTTTTACTGTAATTGTTATGGTTGTGGTTAAAAAAAAATAATTTTTTTAAAAAGTATTTTTTTTATAGTTTGTATATATATTTTAAGTGTTTGGTTAAAAGTATGGTTTGACTTTATTGTTGTTAAAAACATGTTTGGTTAAACCTGTGGTTGCGGTTGTTTTTGTACCTAAAATGATAAAAAATGACATAAATAAAATAATTCTTTATGTTATGAGAAAATAAAAAATTTTGTCCACATAAATACCGGCAAAATAATAAAAGAGTGATTTGTTATTACAATTAAACATTATTGCCCCATCAAACTATTTGTAATGCTATCACAAATATAATCTATACACGACACTCTCTGGTGTCCAGTTGTTTGTGATTGTGGAATGATATCGGGAAAAGTATCTGGAGGAACAAAATCAGGATGGCTATCAAACTTGTTGAATGCAACATTTTGGCCCGACTTCTGTTAAATATAGTTATGCAGCGCCATTAATGCGCAACAATTTTAACCTGTGATTTGTAAGGAAACTCAGGCATGGTTTGCAAGATTCGCCATCTTTTCTTCCAAACTTTAAATGTACGTTCGATTACACATCATAATGATGAATGGACTTGGTTGAATAGTTTCTCCCGACTTCGTGATTGTCCACGTAGATGAAATTTTGGAAGATGATATCTCTCCCCTCTATATGAACTTAAGTAATCGTACTCATTTATATATCCCGAATCAACAAGATAATACTTCCCTGCATAAATGTACTAATTGTTTAAAGCTTACAAAATACTTCATAGAAAAACAAATTAGACCAGCTAATCAATAACCATATTTTTTTTCCAGGTGAATACCTTCCGATGGCTGCAAAAATTATATGTTTGTATTTCCAATCGCCTCATAAAATATTCTTGTATCGTGAGCACTACCTTCCCACCCAACCCAAATAAATATAAATTGCATGTTAAAGCTACATGTTGCCATTATATTTTGCGTCAGTATACCTTTTCTATCAATAAATAGTATTTGATTTTCTTGTGAAACACATGCATGTACACGTGTTCCATCAATCGCTCCAATGCAATTCTACAAAAACAAAAAAAATTGTTGTCGAAGCAGTTTAATTGCACTTAAATATTTGATTGTAACCTTTTGAAATATTTAACTACTTGTACAAAGTATGGCTTACCTTGAAATAAGGCATGTATTTTGGATTCATTTCCATTTTCAATGGTGTTGTTGTGAATTCTGGATCTACTAGTCTAATTAAATCAGCTACTAGTAAGCACATAGAACGAAGAACCTCGTTGAAATTTCTGAAAATGGTCAGCTGCTAGCAAGCAGACAGAATAAAGAACCTCGTTGAAATTTCTGAAAATGGTTTCACCTGAATGCTGAAAACGCTTTTGCACTTCCCTATTCGAAGCACCTAGAGCTAAAGTGTAAAGAAACATGCTTACTTTCTCAATAACACATCTATCTAGATGGTTTTAACTTGTACATCGTTTCCAACTCAAAAACCAAACTATTCAATGTGTCCGCATCTATTGCCCATTTAAAATTTCAGTCAACCATCTCATGCCAGTGTTGTATGAATCCATACATGGCTCTTTATAAATACACGTATTGTAATACAAAGCCAGTGCTTCAGCAGTACATATGACTAATTTAGTTCGATCACACTCTTTATGCCAAAATAAATCACCACTGTCATCGTCATCCTATTGATTTAGGTTGTCGTCCTGAACCATACTGTTATAGTTCCCATAACCATCACTGAAACTACCCCAACCACTTCTTGAACTTGTACCAGCAAACCCATCAGACATATATCGACCAATATTATTTATAACATTTTCATAATGGCAAACTACTTCCTGAACTTGTACCAGTAAACCCATCAAACACATATCGACTAACATTATTCATAACATTTTCATAATGGTCATCAAAAAGCGCATTTGAATCAATTTGTATCTATATCTACAAACACAACTGAATATCAATTTTCAACTTGCAGAGTACCGGTAAATAATACATGTTCATTGAATAATATGTTTTGATTTTTTGTGTCATTAATGGCGGTCTTAACACAAAACATTTATGTTTAATCAAGCGTTAAATATCGAACATCTTTAACTTATACGTAACTCATTCAATATTTTTCAACACAACAATAATTGTAATTTTCAACCTGTAACGTAACGGTAACATGTTTCACTGCGTAATTTGTTTACATTATTTTAAACATTAATGACGATATTAACTTATCCCAAAAAATCTTCATTGCAGCAATCCCTATTAATCAAACTTATTTACAACGACATTAATTTAAGCAAAAAACATTTAAATTGAAGCGACCCCAACGAATCGCACAGATTTTACTTATAAATAACGCATTCAATATTTTATAGCACAAACTTAAATTCAACCCTTAAAACAGTGTTTATACACGTTGACATGCTTGAAATATATAGTGACAGACAATTAAGGTTTCATGAGAAAAAAAACTAAAGATAAGGGACTGCTGTATAAATAGAAAAAAAACAAAAATGAACTTGCTTTATTGACAATAAGAGCAGCCCTGTTAGATTTACCATCTAAATTTGATAACAAAACATAAAGATAAAGCTGCATTAACTAAAAAAACAACCTTAAAATCAAAAAACATCTTTCTAAAGTCAATGAACTTGACGTTGCAGTGTAAAAATAGTAACAAAACCTCCTAAAAATAGCCCTCAATACATGTAGGAATGCTTGCAAAATTTATGGCCAGCCAATGAAAATGCTTTGGAATGATAATGCATCTTAAATAGAAACACACATACAACACAAACCAAGATATATTTATACCATACCCATCAACAAACCAGTATTTGTACCATGACCAACCATTCAGCCCAACAACTCCTATTCAACCCACTATCAAACATTCAAGTAAGGAACAATAATTCAAGGCTGTAGCAACAATCCAAGTCAACTAGCATTCAACCAATCAGCTGTCATTCAACTCATAAAAGCTCATGAAATCCGTTAAGTTACAATATGAAATTCAAGGCTGAAAAAGCAAACTGAACATAAAGTTTTCCAGCCATTCAAACTAGGCTATAGAAGTCAACATGAAACCTATAATTATGGTTTGTAAAAAGTACAACAATAACTATTAAAAGCGACTCAAACATAATTAATTAGCCTACAACTACAAATATAAAAGAAGTGCTCAACATATGATACGTTACAAGTTAAGAAACTTGGAAAAAAATAGTAAAAGCATAATCGTTTGCATCAACCATTTGGCAATTCTATAGCCATAGCAACACCTTATGCACCTTAACTTTTTGTAGACTTTTAATTGCGTGAAAATACATAACCATACAACATGTTAACGACTAATTGGAATACAAACCAAACATTATAAGTGTGCTAAACACTAAAAAAAACTTGAAATATAAAATGCATGCAATAATTACCAAAACATATGACACACAACAAAATTTATTTGCTGCAATATATAACACAAAATAACATACATAACTGTTATTTTTCCTTATATAAAATGTAAACATACTTCAAGGTCTGTAGGTTGCCCTTCAATTGAATATTAATTTCAGCCACTGAAATTTTTGATCCATATCACCAATTGCTGCCCACATTTCCCTCCTACTTCTAACAAAAAAAACTCAGTTGCAAAACAATACAGCTCACTGTCTAACACCACTTCCTCAATGGAGTGAAACTCCTTCATCGCCTCTTCTATGCTACATCATTTTTTTATCTAAAACACTTGATATGCATTTACTCTTGGTAGACACACTATCAACTAACTTATCTAATCGCGAAAACAAATGCAATCCCCTTCCAGCACCCTTTTTTTTCTCATGTTGTTGGGAACTTTGGTGCACACCTTTTCTCTTCCCATTACTACCAGTGAGATTGCTTGTGTTGTTGGTAAAATTGACACTAGCCACCATATTATTGACATTGACAACAAAATTTAGTAGACTATCCTCCTCATAATCTCCATTACCTTCCTGAAGATGAGTGTCCTCATTAACTATGTTAATTTGCCTTTGACCGACACCATCTTCATCAAAATTCAGACCTTGTGATGGAGGCTAAGCATATTGACCGGTAGCAACAATGTTTATAAACATGATATTATATTGACAACATAATGTTGGATCGATGCCAACATGCCTCAACTTTCTTGCTCCATGTATCTCCTACAACAAAGGGACAATGAAGAAAAAAATGCATAAAAAATGATGTAAAAGCACGCAATCAAACTGTTTATTATAGCTCTAAACATACTGAAAAAAAACCTGGTTTTTAGCTTTCCACCATTCATCAGAAGCCGCAATTGTTCCAAGTTCAGCACTCCACCCTACTCTTGTTTTGGAAATCAACATTTTTTCATATTCTCTAATCTTTTTTAATTTTGTCCCACTTATTCTTTAATTATGCTTTCGTTAATGTATGACCAATTTGATCCTTAAAACAATTCATAATATATTTCCACCCAACTTTGTCAAAATATGTGTTGGGTCGTATACCTTGCTCAATTTCTTTAATACATACGTCACAAAAAGCATGCAATATCTCTCTAGTCCAACAAGCCTTATCTTGTGATTGAGAATTGTCCATGTTCTCAATTAAAATGTTTTGTCTAATATACAATTAACAGGTTAATTTTCTAAAGACGATGTAAAGGACATGGAATACACAATTTATCTTAATTAATAAATCACAACCTGAAATACAAAATGCAAATTGAGAACATAGACTTAACATAATGAGCTTAACATTATAACTGCTAGGTTTATTTCCATTAATGTTTCAAAAAGTCAATGTTTGCATTGCCTAGTATTACTAATATTTCTTCAATTTTAATGCCAATGAAGATAATGATAATCTATTAATATATGATGTATAGAGCATTATAGTTGGCAGAATTTTAGACAAAGAAAACCTTCAGTTTATATTCTACAAAAGAAAGCTTATATGTCACTATGAGACCTGTGAACGAAAACTATTTACAAGTATATAAAATACAAACACAAGAAAAAACCAATAGATTTAACTCACCATCTCCCTTTCCTTGCAACAACAAAATCCCCACACAATCTTCTCCCTTCATATATACATTATAAACCAGAACTTTTGCCATCCCCTCTTAATACTTTGAAACTTCCCTTCATGTTATACGATTGCAACCACAAAAATCCTGTCTCAGAAACTTAAATTGCCACTCTAAACTAATAAACCGGTGCAAAAGAAATTCTTGATTTCCACAACACCAATATCCACATATTGCAAAATCATATGCTCTCTTCTCTCCTGAGAAAAAAAGACCATCCCCTTTTCACATTCCACACTCCGCAATCACATTCTTTATGTTTGACAAAATCCTATAATTTTTATCCTGTCCCAATTGAAAAAAAAAAAATTGCAGTAATTCTAGCTAACATAAAGTATTATTCCATTATCTTCAAACCTTCATTTGACAACAATTATTAATCTTTTCTTGATTGAATTTACTAATTTAAAACCAAATTTAGCAAAGACAATGAAGGTAATGACCAGTTAGCTCTCATTTAAATAAAAACCCACATCAAAACCAAAGTTTTTAACACGAAAGCACATGTATTTATGCCTAGCTATGCATAAAAGTGTAAGGAAATGTTAACATTTTAATGGTTGCACACCACGCACAGCCAAAAACACATGTAAAAAGAGAATCAGAGATATAAAGTAATTGTGCAACCAAAACAGAGCAACTGACCTTGAATTTTCTTGTGCAACCGAGACAGAGATTGGTATGACTTGTGCTTGAGCTTTTTAGGAGGCTGATTTTGATGCTCTCTTTGGTTCTAGCAAAGAAAACACACAGCAAGAGAAAATTTTGGTTAGAGAAAACAGTTTGTTTTAGCTGATAAGGCATGATCTATATTTTTTTTAGGTCAAATGCGAAGAAAATTACTTGGTTCAGTGTGTGTCTTCTTCAACCGCGAAAGGAGTTCATCATGATAGCAGATAAGTGGCAGATGAGCTTGACCTACACTCGACTACAAACACTAGTGATGGTCTGTATGAGAGAATGGACGAAGAGTGTGTGTGGGTGTGTTTGCCACACTAAAAGCGCAAGGAGGAGCACTGATTTTTTTGAGAAGAGGGCAGTTGTGGAGGAGGAGAGCTCAAGGAGGCAAATTTGAAAGAGGGGAGACGATCGTGATGTTGAGGACAAATAAGACTAAATAATTTTTTGGTAAATGTTGCAGCGTTTTTTGAACAACAGTCACAGTAAAAGCAACAGCGAGTTGCTTTTGCTTATCCTGCGTTTGGAACGCAATTTGCGT